GCAGCAACTCAACAACAGCATTGACCAGGAGTCATGGTGGGAACAAGAAGAGCAGAACAGCAACAAGAAAGAAGAGGAAGACAAGGACCACCACCAAAGAAGAAATTGACAGTAGGAAGGAAGAAAAGAGGATAATTTCAGAAACAGGAGAGATAACTGCCAATGTCCCCAAGGCAATTGTCAAAACCACCTACTATAATTGCTTTTGCAAGTTCATGGGATTCAAGGATAATTGTGTTTATCATTTTGATCATTAAATTCACTGGTGAGCAGAAGGCATCTATCAAGCCAAAGGATATCTACTGATGTCTCAGTATGAGAGAGCCTATGGAAAAGTGGTTCCTCCTGGGAATGCAGACAGTGAGTCAGAGGCTAGGTCTACATCAATAGCCTACTGGAAGAAGGCTCTTTTTCATTTTATGTTGACTCAGTCTACCTTGGATGAGACTAATGAAAAGGGCAATCCTACAACAAGGTCTTATCTATTCATGGTGCATTCAGCTGATTGCTGCAGCAAAGAAGTCCAAGACAAGAGGGTCTGTTAGAGCAAGTGAAGCAGTCAGAAAAGAAGCAACTCACTGTGAGCTTGTTCAGCTAGTAGTGGATGATATGGTATCAAATCAGGGACAGCTGCTTGATAATCTGAGGCACCAAGCAATGCTCAATTTTCAGTTGCATACCACGATGGTGTGTAGTAGGATGGATGATGCTGCCCATGCAATCAAAGGAAACCCTCACAAGAGTTTGAGCTATCCAAACTATCTGGTTGAAATGGTCATAGAATGTAAGCAAGGAAATGCAGTATCCTCAGAACAAGTTACTGCTTGGAGCTTGAGATACAATGTTCTGTGTTCTAGTTGGCCTTGCAGTGTTTCTAGAGAAGTGGCTTTCCTCTGAAGAAGGAAGGAATAGTCAGTTGTTCTTTGGTGAAGGGAATACTGATTGTCATGATCCATCTGAAGAGCAAGAGGTTGAAACTGAAAGGAAAAAGTCAAAGTATGCTAGAGCTGTCAGGGCAGCGTTTCCAAGCAACAACTATTTCATCCACAGGGAGGCCTGGCACTCACTCTAGTTGGAAGTACTACTCTTGTACCAAGGTCAGGAACTGTTGTGCAGCCTTTGAAGAGGTTGGTTATAGAGGGCTTTTTGTGAGTATGGATGATCACAGACAATACTGAAGACATCATGCTGGTCAGTAGATGTGGGGGTGGTCATGGTTGGGGAAATGCTATGTATGTCAAGATTGCATCTAAGCAGCAGGAGCTTGGACATCTTCATAATCACCAAGAAATTTCTGACCTAGTTGATGTACAGGGCCAGTTTCTTAGATCACTACAGGCTATAATAAGAAGAGTAATGGCTTCTGCCCCTACAAGGATTGTGGTTGGCAGTAGTGTTGTTAGTAGCATTGGTAGTGGTAGTGCTAACAGATGGGCTCCAGCTGAGGTGGCTCTAAATGGCATGTCTCATCATGGTCCTCCTGCAACACATGAGCCTAATCTGAAGTACACCATCCCCTTCTTTGGGATGAATGATGTAATGAAATTGATGGAAGGAGGCCAGTGAGAGATTTTACTACTGGTGCTGAAAGAGGCAATTGCAGGGACGACAGGTGTACAGCAAGAGACTTATTATTTGGAAGTGTACTATGAAGAGGCTGACTACAAGAGGGTTCACAGTGAATGTTGCAATTCAAAGGAGGACCTGCAGTGTGTATTGATATCTATTGGTCACTCAGCTGATTGAAAGAATGAAAAAGGATGAAAGGAATTAGGCGGACATGCAAGATTAAGGAGTTAGTAGTAGTAGTAGAATTGATTTGGTCAATCCATATGGTGTAGCAATCAATTTGGTATAGGGTTGTCAATCAATGTGGAAGAGAGGAGAGCACCCAGTAGTTAGCAAGCTAGTAGTATTGGAGTTTTGATTTATTTGATTAGATCCATTTTACATGTTAAAGGATGTTCTTCATCTTCTTGCAGTAGTACATAATAGAACTCCTGAGTTCAAGTGCAATGATGTCAAGTGCTTGGCAATTTGAACACAAAAGCTAGTAGAAATTGATTTTACATTTTTTAGCTAATGTTTATGACAGTTAAAATAACCATCCAATGGACAAGAATACAAATATTTTCATTGTTTCATTTCTCACTGGACTGGCTCTAATGAATGCTATCCAGTAGTAGCCAGTGGTGGGAAGGCAAATTTTTAAGTAATAGCCTTTGATATTAAATCCTTAGTGGTAGTAGAGAAAAGAGTAAATGAGAGAAAATGACAGTGTGGTAATTGCCGAGTACTTGCCAATAGTACTTCACTTACTACACAGTTGTTGGAAATACACAAAAAGGGGATTTTGTTTAACATTTGACATTTTCTTTGAGTTACAGGTAATGCTTGTTAAATTTGATAGAATTAAGCACTATGAGGATTACTAGTAGCTAGTTCTTGGACAGATTAAAACTATCAGTCACTTGAAGTTCAATTTCCTCATTGAAAGGACAGCAAGCAAAAGATAACAAAGTACAATTCCTCTGTAGGATTTCTTTTTGACAATTTTCATCTGTCTAATCAGCCAATCACCAGATTGCTTGATTCTTGCAAACAAGTATCAGTAATATCCCTATTTCTAAGAAAACATCAAATCTTAAACAAAATCCCCCCCCCCCCCACAACAGCCTTGCTTACGAGCAAAATTAGATTTCTTCTGCAATTTGATTTATTAGGATTTGGTGTGCGCAGCACACCTCCTCAATGATTCTACAGATTTTGTACTGTGTATCTATCATTGTACATTTACATAAACTTGTACCAGTTTACTAGTAGTAAGCCATAACAAATGTGTTAATTGTAGAAGCCTACTAAGTCCTACATAGCCTCAAGTCATTCTATTCAAACAGAAAAATTATAGCACTAGTAAAATCACGGTTAATTTAAAATCCCAGTATTAAGTACTGATCCTAGTACATAGAGGATCTAGTAGTACTAGTACTAGTATCATTCGGTCACTTTTTCAACCCTAAACAGTTCAATAAGCTAACCACAACAGCTCAGGAAATGCCTCTAATAAGATGCCTTTTGGGGATATGCTTGGTCATAGTGTATGAAGAGTACTGTGTGTCATTGTTACACTGTTAGGGACAGGGGAAGCTGGTTTTCCATTAACAGCCGGTATGACCAAAATTGGTCAGTGGTGGAGACCCGCTGCTGGTTAGAAAATAGGCCAGAACTCTATCAAAAAACAACTTTAGACCACCAGACTTAGTGCCCAGACCAAATTGAAACAATTACTTAGAGATCCAGGTCATTGAGAAGCCAAATGATGCTCTAGTGGCTTGGAACTACTAGTCAGCCAAAGTTACAGGGCCCTCTGTTAGTTTTTAAGGAAGACAGTCACAAACCAAGATCAGGGTTTCCCATAGGTTTTTCCATGTTTAAACAAAGAGAAACAAAGAGAGAATTGCCCAGGCAATATTATCTTTGTTTCTCTTTGTTAAAAATTGACAAATCAAAGAGAAACAAGGAGAAGCAATATTCTCTTTGTTTCTCTTTCTTGTTTAAACATGAAGAAACAAAGATAATATTGCCTGGGTAGTATTCTCTTTGTTTCTCCTTGTGTGAATGGGAATTGCCCCCATCATTTCACTATGTAAAAATACAGAGAATAGTGCCCAGATTAAATTCATTCTGCTTAAACAAAGAGAAACAATGAGAACATAGTCCAGGCAATATTCTTCTTGTTGTTTCTCCTTATTTAAACAATGTGAAACAACGAGAAAAAAGGAGAGGCAATGTTCTCTTACTAGTTTCTCTTTGTTACAACAAAGAGAAACAATGAGAGTATTGCCCTTTTAAACAAAGAGAAAGATTCTCTTTGTTTATCCTTGTTTTGTGGGGTGTACAGGAAACTATTTGTGCAGCGGATACGTACGTACTGTATTGAAAGTGTACGTACTATTGGAAGCATACGTACATACGATGCTTCCTCAGAAGGGATGGACATATCACATATCATTCCTACTACCTACATATCATAATGTACTATTCATATATATGTATTATACGACCCATTGTGCCGAGGATTGTAAGAGGTCCAAGATATCGAGAGATAGATTACCTTTCAAGGAACAAAGATGTCACGAGTTCCAAATAGCAAGAACCCTGTGTACATTCAGTACCAGATCTACACAAGGATCTAATCGGAACTTCGGAATTCTCGACAACTCGCATACAGGGCCCAGGTAGTGAGGGGTCAAAAATTGTTAATTCTAGCTAGGGGTAGTTTTGTATCGCTTAAACTGGTATTCGCACGTTGCTGACACCTTCGACTGGCAGACCATTACAGGATTTGATTGGCCAGTTGAAGAATAGGAAGAAGTATCTTTGGTGCAAGTAGGACTATTAATGGTAAGTCCCTTAGTCGCAAGTTATTGGCAATTCCCCGGGTGTCAATTTTTTCTCATTTTCCCGTCTTTATTTCCCCTCTCCCCCCCTCCACAAAAAAAATAAGTAAGTCGCAAAATATTTCTATTACTGGTCCTTACTACTTGAAATATCAAATCAGTGCTTATCTCCAGTATCAAGGACCACTAATAAAAATATGTTGGTATCAGCGAGAAATTAAACAATTTTAACTGTAAAAATGAGCTAAAAATTTCTATTAGTATTTGTACGGGGATTGCCAATAACTTGCGACTACGGGACTTACCATTAATAGCTCTAGGTGCAAGAGGCTCAATGTGAGGCAGTAACACGTAGTAAATCACAAGCCCAAGTAATCATACATAATACCGCACTCCGTTTGAACACTGAAGTCCAAGCATATCAAAACAATTCTTTTTGTTCTCCGGCAGAAAGTTCTCAATTTCTACGGGAGTTTATCACCGAAATCCCAACTTTATCAACTATCTAATCATAGATCATAAACCTTCTTCTCTCGATTAGAGTCGAACGATTTTCGAAAGGAATGATGAGACTGATTGGTGCGACAATTGTGGCTTTGAGCTTGCGTCTTTGCGCAGCAGCAAAGGACATTTCGGGACTGCCATGGTCCGAACTCAAGGAACGTGTCGGCGATCGGTTGATCGATACGATCCCACAGGATTTCATAGACCAATGCCTTCCGGAGTATTATAAACCTTATCATCAAAGAACCCTTTATGAATTGATTGATCAACCATCTGGGCTCTGCACAGCTCACTTATTCTGTGGTGGTTTTCAGCAATGCGCTCCCAACCAAGAGTATTTGAATGGGCAGATCAACGGTTTTGAGAACTGGGAATCACTTCGTGCATTCAACAATTTTTTTACGGCTCAGATAGGTTCCCCACCAACGTCTACTGCCGAAGATTATGACAAGGCTCATAACACGTCCTACGCCAAGTCGCTCCAAGAATGGTTAAATCCAGCCAATCAATATTTTAGCCCTCCACCAAAGGTTTTATTCCCGACAAGCGCTGGGGATGTTGTTGCCGCCGTGGACTTCGCCAAGACATACGGCGTGGAAATTTCCATCAAGAACAGCGGCCATTCGTATTCTGGGTCATCCACCAAGGCAAACACCCTGCTCATCAACATGAACAAGTACAAGAGATATGCCTCCGACGACAAAGAAAATAAGGGCATCATCGAATGTAATGATGCTGAAGTTGGTAAAGGCATGATCACGACATCCGTCGACCTGGACACAGAGCTGTGCAGATTGGTACGAGCAAGAGGAAAGCCTGCCGCAATACGAGTTGGAGGAGGCGAGAATTTCAACAAGGCGTTTAGCTCTGTAAAAGAAATTAACGAACGAAAAATTAACGAACCAGGAGGAAAATACAAATACCACCTAGTTGGAGGCGCTGTCGGAACTGTTTCGCCGATGGGATGGACATGGATGGGTGGGCTCGGCGGCACAGCCGGGGGGAGGCTACATGGATTTGGTGTCGATCAAGTCCTCCAGATCGAGGCAGTCCTCCCAAGCGGTGAGCATGTAAGGTTTGGACCAACAGATTGGGAGGACTCCGATGGATATTTACAGCCCAAAACTACCAAGGTATCCGGGGTTTGCAACACAAATCCACAAGACGAAGAGGAACAGTGGGTTTGGGGAGCTTGTCCGGAAGAAACTGATGTACTCTTCGACGACTTGTGGTTTGCTTTTCGGGGCGGTGGCGGCGGTACTTGGGGCGTTGTTTTGTCGGTGTATCTGCAATTGCACGACTACATGCCCTTAGTAAACATAGAAAAAACATCCGACGTCTGTTCTTCTAACGTTGATCTTGCAACAATAATTGCAAAATTTGTCGTCGATTACCTTTTGGACCCGGGTGCGCTGAACATCACGAGAGAACAAAGCAATATGTGCGCAGCCGCCAACGAGAATTTGGGAACGCTTCGGTGCTACTCGAATGATCCAGCGATGGGCGAAAATTTAATTTCTCTGTATCAAGACTTTGTTTCCAAGAATTCTGAAGGATTGACAGAAGAACTTGCAGCAATAGCCCCTAGTTGTCTCTCCGCAACAAATCACACCGACTGGTCCGAGATTGTCAAGATTAGTGAAGGACCACATGAAGGAAAAATGTCAGGAACTCCATTTCCGAGCTATGTGCCTGACCTAACGCTCTTGACAAATCTACTAGTGCCAAAATCTTGGGTTTTGGATAAGAAGATGAACTCGGAGACCAAGACGAACAAAGATATTTTGGTCGATTGGTACTTCCAAAATCCTTTGTTTACTTACTGGGCATTTGGGGGGGATTCCGAATTTTCCCATGACCAAACATCGTCACTTTCAACTGCGCACCGTGAGGCTGGTGTTATGGTTCTGTATTTGGATTCGGGTTCTTCCTCTCCCAAAATCCCTAATCCATGGCTTCCTTCATATTTTATGCCTTCGACCTACTGGCCGCCCCACTTGCCGGAAATGTACGACTTTACTAGTGGTGATATTCCTCCACACATAGGCTCAAACCACTTGGGGCCAAACCTACATGGACCACTCAGGGACAATCCTACCAAGCCTTGTCCAACTTGGGACTTGTCTAGCTTAGAGGCAGATTCTATGTGCCACTCTGCCCAAGAGGCGGTCTGGGGGACAAAGACTTTGAAACGACTTGAATCTATCAAAACGGCTGTTGATCCGAATGGAATGTTTGATTGTTTTCATTGCATCGGCAATGAAGTGACACGTGACGAAGAATCCTCGTCTAGCCTGGACAACGATGAATCTGCAGGGGGAGCTAACGAGATTGTTGACAGTGAAATTGAGGAAACTGCAGAAGAATCTTCGTCTGTAGCTGTCGATGCATTCGAATTCCCCATGGTGGCCGTTTCTGTATTTGCTGCCATGGTGCTTTTTTAAAATACTTCCTTCTAAATTTGGAGTGTCTTGACTTCAATGTTTGTGAATAAAAAACTAGTTTGCTTCTAGTAGATTGACAAAGATAAGCTTACAATACACAAAGTGAAGTGCCCGCTCCGGACGCCAAAGCTTGAAACAGCGGTGTGGTTACCCAATCCTCCACCGACTGTGTCCAGGACTTCCGTTCCGCGGATCTGGTCTCGGTGAAAGTCTCCCGCCAGTTCGGGGCGCTGTTTTGTGGTTTGTGTTGCCGTCTAAACCCGCCTTTTGTGATTTGCCTGTGAGTTTGATGCCATTCATGTTTTGCGCCAATCCTCGTGGTGCATCGAGTCAGTCCGTTCGCGTTCATGCAAAAGCGAAAGATGCGTGACTCATTGGATTTGAGATTACATACCCTAAGAATGACGGCTGTTGATTGGCATTGGTGTTGCTGCCAATGTGTTTACTGGTGATTTGGTTCATTCCGCAATTTTGTTGAACTGTGCTGGTGGTGGTTTGGGCGCTGCTGGCTCCCACGCTGCTGATTCTAATGCTCTGCTCTACAAGCAAGCAATTCTTTCCTGTGCCGACGATTGGAAGACAAGAGCTGGAGCAACTTCCTTTTGATGTTTAACGTCAATTTTCTTCCTACCAACACCAGCAGTAGTATGCAGTGGACTCGCAACCGAACCACCACAACTAGTACTAGCTACTAGTAGTACATGCTGCAATGTCATGTTCCTGTTCTGCTGGTCTTTTGGTGTGTCTAACTAGGAATGCCTAGTGGTATTCCGAGTCCTACTAATGCGACTTTCAGCTGCATGATGAGGGTTTTCTTTGATTTTGATGAGAAAAGAATGATTCGTTTTCAACTTTGCTAGAGGTACGTACCAGTACTGTGCTGTCCTCGGCTCCTAATTGAACAAAATTAAAAATTGTCTGTAGAATACAGTAGCGGGAATGGACCAATCCTTATCATCAAAAAAGGATGATGATGATTCCCTTAATTATTGTTGTTCCATTCCATGTGTTGTCTCGAAAGGCAATACTGCTTCGATAAGAACCGGGACCAATACGACGGCTCCTCTGTTGAACGATACTATGTTTGAAAACTGCGTGTTACTGTGCGTTGGGATGCCAACACTCATTCGTTTTCGGAAGTTCGTTGTCGAGTACAACCAGTACTTTACGCATCGCCAGATTCTATACTTTTTACGAGTCGAATTCAAAATTCTCGTCATCCTTTTGTTTTCAATACTTAACAAATCAGAATTTTGACGTACATTGTGATAGTAATATAATATAATGACACGCGTCCAATGCATGCAGTGGTAAGATCCAGAAAATGAACGAAATGACGGGATACGATACGGTACAAGTCACCACCCCTGTACGAGTAGTACTCGTACTTTGGCTTTCGATCTTGGATTTTTTCCCGTCGAAGGGCCTGCCATTACTTACTTCGGAGATAAAACGACAACGCAACAACATCGATTCCCAACAAAACTAGCAACCAAAATCGCATTATGGGATCTAAATTTACAAAGTTCGACGCAGCTCTTCCGAGTGTCGATGGCAAGGTCTTTGCTATCACAGGTACGTCACAAGCCAAGGCATAACGAGTGAAGCAATGCCATTCTTTCCTCTCGGAATGGAAAGTTTCCTTTTATAACGGGTATGGAGATCGAAGTGAAGTAAATCAACCAACCATCCGCTTGGATCTTGCACATCCGCCTTGCGTGTAGGATTCATCGTTCTAATTAAAAGCCATTGCCTCGCACCGCAACCTAAAATAACGTGTACAAACAGGAACGACCTCAGGTACGGGCTATGTCGCAGCCGAAACCGCGGCAAAACACGGGGGTGAAGTTCTCTTGCTGAACCGCCCTTCGGAACGGTCGGTCTCTTCCCTGGAAAAGCTCCGGGCCGCGGTTCCTGACGGAAAGTTTGTGCCCATCGACTGCGATCTCCAGGACTTTTCTTCCGTCCGCGCGGCTGCCCAGACAATCAAGGACAAGGGCTACAAGTCCATCTATTGCCTCTCGAACAATGCCGGAATCATGGCGGTTCCTGACGAAATTACCAAGGCAGACGGTTTTGATAAGCAGATGCAAACAAACCATCTCTCTCATTTTTTGCTCACCAAGGAGCTCTTTCCCCTCATCGTTGCTGCTTCTAAGGAACACGGTGATGCTCGGATTGTCCAGCACAGCTCGGGCGCCCGGCACATGACCCCAAACAACGGGTTGGAAGAAAAGTACTTTCTCAAACAAGAGAAGGACGGCATGCTTGGAGGAGACACCGAAAACGGATTTATGAAGGGTGGCAAATGGTACCGATACCATCAAACCAAACTCGCCAATTCTGTCTTTACGCAATGCCTGCATGACAAGATCCAGGCCAGCGAGAATGCTGACTGCAAAAACATTCTGAGCTTGTGCGCCCATCCCGGTGGTTCTCGTACCAATCTTGCTGATCATCTCCCGATCGATGGAATCTTCATGAAAGCATTGCTAAACGTGGTAGCCTATACTTTTATGCAATCCGCAGAAGATGGTTCCATGGGGCTTCTCAAGGGAATGATGGATTCCAGAGAGAGCGTTCGGGGTGGAACTCTGTACGGGCCAGAAAGGTTTGCGGGATGGGCCGAGCCGAATCCGCCGAAACCCTACGAAGTAGATCCAAAAGCAAAGGAAATGCTTTGGAGTACAAGTGAGAAAGCGACCGGTGTAACGTTTGAGATCTGAAGAAACTTGTGTTAGTACTTCGGATGGATTTGTCATTATTCATGAGAGTTTGAGCAATGGAGTCGTCTTGCTCATTAAGATTGCAAAATGCATGAAATCTTGTACCATGTTAAAAACTGTACTATATTCCAACTGATCAAATATTGTCACAATTAGCGGATTTAAATAGCATGCAATAACATGATGGTTGGCATGGAATAATAAGTAGCAGTTCCAGGAATTTCACTCTGTAACCTTTCATGAGCAACAATAAAACTGGAAATATAATCAGTGAACAATAAGCAGTAGGAATGATAACACATGGTATTTCCTCCTCCTTTTCAACAAGTGTGGCATCATCACTCCTCCTACTTAATGCTATTGCTATCAGTGCTTCTTTCCTTAACAAAGATTTGTGTTCTGAAGCAGTTCCTGGTATGCAAAGAATCCTTCATCTCTCTCTATACATACATTAAAGATCTGGTCAACATTACTACCCATATTGCCAACAGCGCTTCTTGTCTGGTAATTCTGCAGTACTAGAACAACAATCAGACTTATTACTACTAGGCATAAAATAAGAATTGAACTTTCTTTACTACTCCTACTATGTGTTGCAGATCAATTGAAATTATGTTTCACAGGGCATTCTGAATATTTGAATTAATTTCCCAATGTTAACTTAACATTCCCAATGTCAGACTTAATGTTTGGAATGTTTGTATATCACTGTAGGCCTACATACTAGATCCTCCTGGTATATTCCCCATTCTTCATTTGGCAGCAAGCCAGCATCCAAAAACAATAAATTTGGTCTTCTTCCTAAACAAGAGGGAGAAGCAGTTTTTGCTTCAATTCAACATCCTGAATGCTCTGCTTAACAGTCTGAATGTTAGCAGGCACGGGTGTCGTCCTTCATCCTCCTTCTTGTTTTTAGATCCCTGCTTCTTTTTTAAGAAGGTATGTGCAAGACCCAAACAATTGCTTTAGGAAGGTAGTAGCACACTACCACATCAAAGAATGGGAATACTAGGATCTATGAGGGCTACTGAAATCTACTAAGATTGCAAATGTTGAAGTAACATTTTAATCCAGATGCTCATCATGGGTTTTTAGAGTGGTTTTGGCTTTAATTTAGAGTTCAGGTTGTTCTTATATCTTATTCAAACTACTACTAAACTGAAGATTTGATCTATCTTCACTTCTGAATGAAATTCTATGATTAAATTAAACTATTAGTAAATGAAATCTCAATCCTCATTATCAGCCAATCAGATTTTGGATTCTTACAGAAATATTAGTATTATCCCTAACTCTAAATTTACGCCAAAATCGACGTAAAATGCCATTTTGGTCAAAATGATCATCTGTGCTTATTTAAAAGAAAGTTCAATGCAATTGTTATGTTACGCGTAGTAATAGTACCGTACTGTATTGTGATTTTCTCAGAAATCTCAGAAACTGTTCTGTTATGACCTTTTCCATACGGTACCGTACGTAAATGTAGCAATACTACCGCCAATACCCCACGATCCCGTCGTGCACACCATACCGTAGTGCTTAATTTTTTTACCATCAACAAAATACAGGGAGCGGGAGCAAAAAGAATTGGATCGGATATCGATGGTCTTTTAGTACTCGTACTGCACGGCTTGCTGCATTTCTGCCATAACGACGATCACCATGGCAAGAAAAAAATCTTTCGTAACAGCCTCCCTACTTTTCGTCTATGTTTACGTATCCCTTCTACTTGTTCTGGTCGAAAGAAACCTCTTCAGCCATGACCATGTGCAACGCAGCAGTCAAGCTTCCATGTTTGGGAAGATGACCGTCTCAGGCAATCATGACTCATCCGACGCAAACGAGCTCGGTGCACATTTTCGAGGATCTGGATCGTTGTCCTTGCTGATGGCCCGGGTCCTCGATGTGGATCGGCCAATACCGGATGCGTTTCACGATCCTATTTCCGACTCAGAACTATGCAAAAAATTCGATGGGCTGAAGTACGAAAATCGCACCAAGCGAAGAAGAATATTTGCCGGGAGTTTGATTGCCGATGATTCTTGGCATGTAATCGGTACCCAAGCTTTGGAGACCTACGGTATTTTCCACTCGATCACCTTTATTGAAAGTAACCGCACACAAAGTTTTCAACCAAGAGCCGTTCGATTTGAAAGCAATCCTCCTTCTCACGATTACAAAATTTTGAATAGTGGTATCTATGGACCCAACACAGCGATACACATCGACAATTTTGTGCACGAAACAAAGGAAAAGCGCACCATGCTGAGAGAGCACATGATGCGTGAAAGAATTCTCGTGAAATGGAAAGAATTGGGAATGACAAAAGAAGATCTTGGCATTATTTTCGACATGGACGAGATTCCTTCCAGAGACGTATTGCGCGCGATACAGGTATGCGAAGCGCCCAATAATAACTGGAGAACAGACGACAAGCAAACGTGTAGAGCGCCTTTGGCAAGAGTTTTCCTTTCCATGTACGAAGGATCGCCAAAATGCATGTTCAAAGCTGAAACCAAACGCTCTGAACTCAAAGCTCAGTTCCATCGCTATTCGAAAGCTTCCGTGGTGATTGGGGCTTGCATAGAAGGCATTGGTGATGGAGACAAGTACCCGAAGCCTCTGAGATCAGGGAAAGTTAGCACTGGCGACATTGTTGGTGTAAGGGAAGAAGGCTTTGGCTTGCATTTTGATTACAAGAAGATTCCAGATGGCAATGAGCACGGTTTCTTTCCTCGCTATAATGGAGCCGACTTTCGTACATTGGACTCCGGCCTTAGTATTTCAGGGGGTGCTGGATATCATCTTCACAACTTCTTTGAGTCGGCTGATACCATTAGGTTCAAATATAGATATTATGGTCATGTTCATGAACACGCATATTCCGTACCTTTGGGTGCAATGAATGCCGACATGAGCATGCTTGTGAAATGTGTTCATGGCCTTCCGGATGAAGGAAACAGGAAGAAGAGGCTTAAAAATCCTATCGAGATGGCGACGGAAGCTCATGAGGTGCCAGAAGCCTTCCGGATTGAGGGCTATATCGATGCGCGCCATCAGGAATTGCTCGATCTGGTCACAGCAGATGAGGAAGACTATGGTCGGGCAGACAACTTTGATGGCAACCATTTGTTTAAGCCACATATGATTACGCATCCGGGGAAGAAGAAGAATACTGTGCTGGTGCCAGAATGACTCCAATAGGTCAATCCTTCGCAAACGAGCGGGGATCATCAAACAAAAGACAGATTTCTTGTTGGCAAATCGTATTCCATCCAAGCATGCCTCGAAAACTTTATTAAATTGGTCTTCCGGTCAAATATTGTGCGAAAGGAAGATAGAAATCGGCTCGAAACGACCACATGGAACCAAGTGGGAGACACTCTTTCATACTGCACCAAGACCAATAAAACGCTCGAGTTGTCTGGTGTATAAGCGTTTGGTGATATTCTGAAACCTGTTTTGTAATTTAATAAATGTTCTTCTTCACAGTACAACACTTCATTCTTAACTCGCGACTTCGCACCATAACTTATTTTTAAAAAGAATACATGCGAAGACACTGTAGAAACAATTTGGAATCATCTTTACGTTTCTTCAACATGTGTCGCTAAGCATACCAAAGAGTCATTAAGGAACTTGAACAAAAATGTACCAGGATGGGAAACCTTTGTAGGAATACATTGCTGATGGTGGTGTTAATTGCTGCCATAAGAACTTCTTGGTGTCTCAGATTTGCGACGTCTCTATATTTTTTATTGGTTTTCATCTTTCTTTGGATAATTTTGAACAACCAGAAACCAAAGCGAAATTTGAATTTTTTAAAATTTTTCTTGATTTTACAGCTTTCTCACACTTTTTGGGAAAGGTCTGGCCGTCACATCGGTAATGAGTCCATTACTGTACTACTGTACGGTATGACGAATGTTGACAGATAAAACAGATGAAAAGAGACGGTGAACAAAACAAATATTTGAAGAGCATTCTGGTGCATCGAAGACGGCATCGAAACTGTTAGAGGATCTATCCTTGCACAGCGTTCAACACGGCGTTCAAGAACAGTCATCAACCGGTGTATCTGTAAATTGCAAGCAATCCAAAAAGCACAGTTTATAAACGTAAATTTTACCCGACAAGTACAAACGGGGTGTATTGAACAGTCCATTCTGAATCTGAACCATGACTGCCAACGCGGAAGCCCGAGCGTTGCTCGACCAATTAATGGGTGTAGAACGCGATGCCCTGCTTCCTGCTGGTAGGTCTCTTTCAACGGATGGATTGGATTGATTCCAATTGTTTTTGGTGCCTGGAACGTTTGTCCTGGGGTTTCTCCGATTTGAGCTGCTGTGTCCAGATCTCGTCTCCCTCACATTCTTCCACTGAAACTGTTTTTTTCGGGCGTGACTCCTTCTCTCTCTCTTTCTCTCTCTGTCTAAATGAACATTTCTAAATAATGGAACACTAACGTCTTCTCTGAAATAATAGGCGCCGCCCTTCCTCGAAAAAATAAGAGACCCCTCGGAGACGGCGGAATGATATTACCGGGTGCGAAACGAAGCAAATCATGTTATGATCGAGATATTGATCCGCTATATTGTGCCTGGGGGGTGGATATTTACGAATTGTTTGTAAACACAAAGTCGGACATTGGTCCAAATCCTTATACCGCTGATGAGGCGGCACGGAAAGAATACGTCTCGTTGCCCCGGGAGGAAAAGGATCGTTTGGGATACGAGTCTCGCCTCTTTGTCAAGCTACAAGAATTGGTCCAACATTGCGACCGAACCGTCAATCGGAACCACGAGAAACTCAAGCGGGAACTCCAGCGACAAGCACAGAAGCGTGGTGGAAACGACTACGTCGTCGATGTKAGCGAGGAGAAGGTTGAGGAACTCGTGAGGGCAGAGTGCCAGTTGGAGGATATGAAGGAAGATCTGGTAAAAGCGTTAAAAATACTAGACGAAGTGCAAATAAAGGAGGAAGCTATTTTGGATGAACAAAGAAAGGAGCTGATGCTGAAAAAAGCGGAGAAACCGAACGAGACGAACGGGGAAACGACTACTGTCAAAGCCGAGGAGGGCGGCGATGAACCCGAGAAGGCAGTGACGAAGGAACAGGAAACACCTGACGCAGCAGTGAAAACTGAGGACGAGCAAGGAGCAAACCCAACCATAGTCGTCGATCGTCAAGGTGTTGAAAGCAGTGACTCAACCAACAATGAAGCAATAAAAACAAACTCAGATGGAAAATTGGAAGTGCAGAAGGATGATGGCGACCGAAAAGAATTAGACAAAAACGATGCAAATGGTGATCCTAGTGGGTCAGCAACTCTCGAAGAATTGGGAAAGCTCGCCCTCGAAAAACAAAGCCTCCTCTGCCAAATTGCAACCATCATTTCCCAGCTCGGTCCTCAGGAGGAATCCATTGAAATCCTCCATGCAAAATTGAATTTTGTGCGTTCCGATACCACAACCGACAAGACCGTCTGCGAGGTTTCAGGAAACTTTATGAGCGCCCGAGATGCCGACGAGCGCATTGCCGCTCACTATGCCGGAAAGCAATACGTGGGATGGAAACTGGTTCGCGACAAATACCAAGAAATGGTCAAAAAGTACGGTAGGTACGGACCACCCCGACCTGGAGGACGCGGTGGTGGGGCCCCTCTTATGTCCCACCAGAAATACCAGCAGATGCAGCAGGGTGGAGGTCACGGCGATCGCGATCGATACCGTGGACGGGGAGACGACAGGCGGGGAGGATCCTCGTACGGTCGAGATGGTGGCCGCTGGGAGCGCGGAGGTTATGGCGACCGCGGTGGTGGTTACCGTGGCGATAGCCGGGGAGGCTATGACGACCGGCGCCGCGGCTCTGGATACGGCGATCGCGATCGTGATCGCGGCGGATACCGTGGAGGTGGGGGTTATGGCAGCAGGCGATGATGAGGAGGTTGCGAAAGTGCAACTTGTAGCCAAGTCGTCGTCAGGATCAACACTAGTCGAATTAGATTGCCAAGCAATTAATTATGTTTTTCATTCCAATTAGGATGTTCTGGTAGAAGACAAAATAAATCGCAAACTTATTCAAGCCTCGATTTGAACAGGAAAAATTATCAAATAACACAACACAACTAGTGGATGCTAATAGTCAATCAAGCACCTTCCATTTTTAACCACGAAACGGAATCCTACTGTATGGCAAAAATGATGTATTTTTTGGGTATTCTATAGAATTTTGTTGTGCGTTAATCTCTTTTGCTGACATCGAGAGTAGGAATCTGCGGCAATGTGAGCATGACAAAGCAGCATCGGGAGGGGGGGACAATTATTGTATTTATTGATTTCTACTCGGCCCCCGGCAAGCACTATACTACACTTCTTCGAGCGAGCCTCGCGGAACGAGGGGCTCCGTCAATTCCGTCACCATATTGCCATCATCCGTACTTTCTTGGCTTGGCAGCTGCTGTTCGTGCTGTCTCCGGCGTCCAAAGACACCCATCGTCCACCGCAACACCCCAGCTGCGGACGGCAGCCCGGGAGACCTTGGTCTCCGCCGGCGATTGTTGCCCAAACGCTCCTCCTCCTCCTCCGTGTGTGGCGCAGTCTCCACAGAAAATGGCCACCACGATCTCGATTCTCCCTCTTCGCTCGTCGCACCACTATCGGTATCGCCCTCCACGAAAGCGCCGAGGGGTTGGTCTTGGGAGGGAGCTGTAGTTGTTTCCTCCCCAGTGTTGTTTGCTGCTGGAGCCCCATCTACGGGGTTTTCAAGCGAGATATCTCCCTCGCTGTTGATTGTTCTGCTGCCCCACCACCAGCTGCTGAAGAACGATGCAAATCCCTCTCCCGGCGGTGATTCTCCACCCGGATCATCACTATCGCCGTTGTTGTTGCCGTCGCTGTCTTCGTCTTCTTCTGGCTCTACGTAGAGGTCGAGTTTACAGAGAGGACAGACGGCCGATCGTTCGATCAACCACCGAGCAATGCACGTCGAGTGAAAGACATGCCCACAGGGTAATTCTCGAACCCGCACTCCGGGGACAAATTCGTCGAGGCATATGGTGCATTCATCGGAGAGCTGCATGTATCCACCACATTTTGGCTGCACATCTTCGGCTGTGGACCCCTCGGTTTCGTCGTTTGTGCAGGCATGGCTGGGGTTGTTGTTTTGGTTGTGTTCCTCCGGATTGAAATGGAACGAGGGGAACCTGGCTCGGACTTCTTCGAGGGTCAATCGGCGCCGCACGGGTCTTCTTGGTGCCTCCTGGTCCTCCTCCTCCTCGAAGCTCGTTTGGATGCACGCGAGCAAACAGCAGCAAATGCACGCACAAACACTGAAAGAAATTAGCATCCAAACAATTACGGTTCGTGCACTGACATCTGATTCCTTTGAGTTCATAAGGATTCTCGTTCTTCACATGCCAATCGATACAGCAACAAATAAAAACCAGAGGTTTGTTCCAAATTCGCAACAGACACGGTTTCGAATGATCGATTCAGCAATTATGACGCAGAAGAAATGCCGTGAGCGAAGGCGGTCAATTTCAATAGTGGTGCGAAGCATTTTCGGAAGGTATACTTTCGAGAATGCGTTGCTCGCCTGTTTGTGTGTGCTTCACTTACCCTCCCCGGCGACGGTCCCTGGCGCTTTCGTTTTCCACAGCACGGAACAACTCGTCTCCAACAGCAAATGTTACATACATTACTGCCAGGTTGATTGCACCATCATGACCCCAGCTGGATTGCTCGCTCATGTCAGTAAGGTGCGTCAAGACGCGACCGTGTGGTTGGTCTAGATCCATAGCCGAAAAGTCCAGGTAAAATGATTCGTCACCGTCATAATAGTCCTCGTTGCCKGTCAATGATTGAAGCAGGCTCTCCATACTGGAACCACCATAGTAGCGACTCCCGGGGAAAATCTGTGACTGTTTGCTGTCGTGGCTGGCTTCGTCTCCGTATTGGTTGCTGTTTGCAAGGACGGTGGGTGCCCCGCGCTTGCTGGAATTCTGAATGATCAAATACTGTACGTTGTTTGCCGGGCGAATCATGGTGGAAGCAACCCGCGCCTTTTCCATGATGCTGCAACCACCGGCTTGGGCCACCAATGCAACTAAGCAATGGAATCGAATCGAAACGAATCGAACCCAGCCGGATTGTTCAGGTGTTTTGTAACGCATAATAGAATAGTGAATAGCAAAATGTATCCAACGGCAAATGAGTACAGAGAATTGTTAGTTGGACGGATTGATTTCGATAGAAAGGTTGCCCACGGAAGTTGTTTGCAATAACCAAAAACAATTAAACCTCCGACACCATCCATGGCATGGCATACCGCATTATGTTGCACAGCACCATCGGAAATTCTCGATTTTGTATGCAATACCACATTTTAGGCTTGTACTACATGATCCGGTAAACCACAGCGACTATCGTTGCCCTTGCCTACGCAATCACCCTATTGTCACGGCTTTTACGTACCAGGCAGTCCATCCATGGGCGTGACAATGTCAAAGGTTTGGTCGTTTCCGTTGCCGTCGTTGTCGTTCCCGGGACAGAGCGTCGGATTCTCCGAGATGTATTGCAAGCGGCCCACGTATTCGTAACCCCGCATCAGGGGCTGCCCAATGTGGGGATCCATCCTCGAATGAAACGTCTTTCCCGAATCCAGGAAGGAAATGGTGGCGACGACGGGGGACGCGAAACATGCCAAAACCAACGCACAGGCGTACCCATAGTGAAAAGGCACCGAGCGCCGCAGGCGTAGACGGTGAATCATCTCTCTCCGATAGAATTGTTGAATTCTTCAGCACAGTGGTGTTTGAAATACCGCCTCGAATCGACAAAATAGAACAAAACTCTGAACCCAACGAAACAGAAAGAGAAACGAACGAGTTGAAATCAATCAATCGATCGAATCTATCGTATCCCCTGTCTGTATTCTCTTGTGTCGAATGGCTTCTGTCGGTGCCAGTGCACTCTATGTGTGATTGTATGTTGCTGCTGCTGTAACCGCGTGAACTCTGATTGGTGTCTAGTCGCAGTGCGGTACCTATTAATGCATCATCGTCGAGGTGTGTTCTCGAAAGTACAAACCACAAAATATTCTTCGTTCTTTCCCTGGCCCTGTGGAAACAAGACACAATCAAAAGCGGTTTCGTTTCGCTTAGTACTACTGTACGTAACGGTACACCATTTTACGGTACCTTTATTACCGCTCGGTTAGGAGGGTTGGACAAAATATTCCAACCTGTTTCCTTTTTCCACACTGTACTGTACCTGGTACGGTACTGTACGCTAGCTGCTGTTCCGTATGCTAACCCTTCATACCGCAAGGTACGATTTGGTACGGAAGTGACGTAACGTGACACAGGGGTTATGACCCGTGACGTGACACTCGTTTTCCCTTTTGTATGGGTGAAACAGTACGTAATGTACGTCCTGTAAAGAACTACAGTACATAATACAGTAGTTAATAAATTCCAGTACTTTACTTGATGAGTACAGTACGTATTACGTACGGGTACTGTTCGAATTCGCAAATTGATACGACGGGGTTCGTACTCGTATTCGGGCCTTTAACGCATCGATGTGGGGTGCGATTCAGAAAACAAGCACATGAAGTTTTTGAAAACGGGACCACGAAGAACCACTCCACACAAAACGGTTCATAACGGTCTTAGCTTGTCTGTCGAACGATTTCGTGTTGCGTTCACACGACTCCGATGGCCTAAAATTTTTCGTGAAACCCGGTTCCTAAACAAAGAATTCGACTCGATCGATCATTTTTGGTGTACCATTTTACCGTATTAGTGTACTATCCTACAATAGTCCTACAATAGTACTGGTAGTTCCAGAACAAATGAATTAGAATTACTTTAACGTACCGCACGGTACCAGTAGTAGAACTTATGAAGAAGAGTGCACTTTTGGCTTCCACCATACCGTAGCCTGGGTTAGTGGAATGAGCGAGGATTTCCCAGAAAAGTTGCAAACCATTCGTTTGTGCCTGGAAGTTCAAAGATTTGAGTGGTTTATAGCATCTAGAATTCTTACACGCGGCTCGACACCGCTCGGAATGGAACGAACTCCTCCTACTACTAGTGGGTGCAGACCATCAAGATCGCCGGGCCGTTTCGTTTGTCTAGGCTTTGCATGTGGGGCAAATCGCGGGACGAGTCCAGCCACACGTGGGCCCTCACTAGGTCCGCGTCGCTGCTGCTGAAGCACGCCAGAAACTCGTGCAATTGCCAGGCCGTGGGTTCCGTCAGCAACAAGAGGCTCTCGGTCCCCTGCAACATGGACAGGAGGTGGTGAAAAAAGGACTTCCATTTGTGCCGCGTCTCGGTCAAGAGATACGAAACCACAATCAATCGGTTGCGGCTGGGAGACTCTTTCCTGAGCTCCAACAGGGCACGGTGGTTCTTGTTGTCTTGTTTGTTCGGGTGTTGCTCCGTTGGCAACAAGGAATCTCGAACATCGCAACCGACGGCCCTAACAAACGGCACGTACCGCGGAACAATCCTTTCGATGAGCTGGTCGAGGACGATCTGTTTCCACCGATCGACGACAAAATCCATCAGCAAGATCCCGTTTTCGAGTTGCGCCCCGTGGGACTCGAAAAACGCCAGGACCCCCGTTGCGTCGCAACCGGGACCGCAACCGATGCTGACCACTTGCTTGGTGCCGATCAGGCGGCCCCACATGCCATCCACTAGTTTCCGCTCTGCCGCGCTTTTCCCACGCGGAGTTCCGATTCCCCCGGCATTGCCATCCTTTCCCCCTTCCGTACCATCCACTGCGGCGTCACCCTCGTTTTCTCTGTGGCACGGATCCAATCGGTCCAGCGAAGCAAAGGCCAGGAGGGCTCGCTCGTAGAATTTTTGTCTCGTGTACCCCAGCAGTGCCATGTCGTCGTCAAACATGGATTCCGTTTGGGTCCCCCGATCCATGTTGGCCTTGAGTTTCGCTGCTCGAATGGTTTGTTGTTCCTTGGTTGTTTTTGACGTTATTGGTTTTGATCCCGGACTGTCGTTGTCGTTGTTACTGGGCGGCGACGAGAGGGCCAACAAAGGCGCCATTTTCATCCAGAACTTGAGCAGCCATGCCCCCCCTTCTCGAACCCTCTTCGTTTCACGGTCCTCCGACGAACGGAGCGACTGGTGCGAGTGCCGATAGCGGGAGCTCTGGTTCAATTGGCAGCAATGCGAGCCTGTCTGACAGACGCTTGCGGTCGTGCCCGGAGCTTCTTCCTCGCCAGTATAGTTGAGCACGCTGTTGGGATCGTTCTGCAGGAGCTGTTTGTAGTTTTCCCAATCCTTTCGTGCCTCTTCCTCCAGCGACTTGTCTTTTCGCAGGATTCCCTGTTGTACCCGTGTCTCGTATTTTCGAAGCTTGTTGCGCTGTTTCAGGTGTTTGTTGAGGAGTCGCTTCCTGGCCTTTTTGGCGGCTTTGTCGGTGCCTTTTCCGGAATTTTCCGCGCAACGGTCGTTCGGATTGCCGTTCCCGTCGTTCGGAAGCAAGGAGCAACCCGTAGGAGGTGCGACCGACCCCGAATTTTCTTCGTCCGTTTGTTCGGATGGGGTCGTCGTCGCTGCTGTGGTTGGCATCGCGCTCGCCGTGTTGTTCACACCCTGACCCCCGGTGAGCCAACCGCGGGGATCCTGCTGTGTGCAGACTGGAAATAGCAAAAGGCGTGATCGATGGAAATCTGATTGCTCGCACGTTGTAACCTACATCGGTGGTGTGTGTGTGTAATTGTTGTCCGCGAGAACGAAATGATGTGATGGCTGCCGAAGTAAAAATTCAAAATTTGTGTCAGGGCCATCCGGGTGGTAGTAGCTGTCGCGCGCAGTTTCCTAACGGGGGACACGGGAAAATCGGAAATGATGGGAGGAATTCTGATTCGGCTGGCATAAATCTACCGTACGGTTCATTAATTTTTACTGCTCTGTACGGTACGTACTTCGGTGAATCTACTCAACGATACCATTAACCTATTGCTTTTCTAAGAAATATACCATGACATTCTACGTCTTCAAAAGCCTCATACAGTCGGTACTAGGATAATCTACTTTGGTCATCACAGACCAGCCTTGTATCCATAAATAACACGACAACAAGCACCGTGAAAGGACGAAATCTAGTACAGTGTGTGGTTTACGTACTGTGCTTTGTGCTGGTTTGATTTGATTTGATTTGATTTGATTTGATTCATCTGCTGCGGTCGGTAAATCCTCGTTGTTTGATCTGATACAGAGCATCTGTAGGGTGGAATCCAGTGCATCGGCMCCCCCGCCGGTGGGAGAGCGCACGGCCTTGCCTCCGCGGCTACGGGTTCATCAGCCCGGACACCGCCGTTTCGCCGATCTTGGCGACGAACTCCCGGAGGTCGGCCCGGGGAAAGGCCTTGTGGATCTCGTACGAGTCGCTCGCGACCAGGGTCGCCAGGTCCAGGGCGTGCTTGTACCAGTGCCCCGGGGTGTGCGCGGCCGACCCCCCGCTCGCGCTGCCGCCGCCGAGGCGCTGGAGGGCCTCCTCCCGCGAGAGGCGGAGGGCCTCGGCCTCGCCGAGGCTCCTCGAGAGCCACGAGGCGGTTTCCTCGCAGACCTGGTGGTACAGGTTGGCGGCCAGGACCAGGTGCCGGGAGCGGATCGTCCCCAGGTCGGCCCGGCGCTTTTGTTCCTCCGCGTCCACGGCTCCCCCACCGAGGACCCCATCGTCCCCGTCGACGAAGAGCCAGCCCCCCTCGTGGGTCAGGACGCCGTGCCACGACGAGCGGGCCCGCTCGGCGGCGCCGAGCGTCTGCTCTAGGTGTTTCTTCTTTTCGCGGACCCAGGTCCGCAGGTAGTTGGAATCGGCAATGTTTTTCTCCATCTCGCTGAGGTTCGCGTAGTTGGGGATCCGGTGGTGGTCCTCCAGCGCGGTGGGGGTTTCCCGGAGGACTTCCTTCCAGTGCTCGAAGTCCTCGTAGGCGCTCAGGTATTTCTGGAAGGCGCGGTATTCCGCGTTGGCGTTGTTGATCCGGTCCATGCCGTCGTCGCTGATGCTCTCGCTGCTTTCGTTTTCGACCGTGTCTCTCACCCGGTCCAGCAGGTCCCCGGGCAGGTAGTCCCTGACAAAGGCACCGGCGGCGTGGGTCTTGTCCTCTTCCTCGTCCAGGAAGAAATCGCGGAGGAGGATGTTGGCGCACACGAGGGCGTCGGGCGAGTGCTCGTCTTTTTGCAGGAGCCACTGGAGCGAGTTGCACTTGATGGCGTCCATGTCGTCCGTGCCGGAGGCGGAGCTCGGTGCCGAGAGCGAGAGCCGAACAACCCTGCGGAGAAGGGTGAGCTCCATGGGGGGCATGAGTTCCTGGATTTGCCCGATCATGGTCTTGCGTTCGGCGTCGTCGAGGACCCGTGCCAGGACGGTGGGGAAGTACTCCACCGCCTTGGGCTCGGGCAGGAAGCTGACGTAGAGGGCGATCATGTGCCACAGGTCGGGCCTCGATTCGAGGTATTGCACGTATTCGAACAGAATGGCGTTCTTTTGTTCGGAGATGCCATCGCACACCACCGGGGTGAACGAGTCCTCCAGGGAATCCAGGAAGAGCGCCACGTGGGTCAGGAACCGCACCCCCTCCCAGTCCTGGTTCACGTAGTCGTCGTCCCCGCTGCCGTCTTGAGCGGCACACCGCTCCGAGACCTCCCGCAGCTGGGAAACGACCCGGGTGGTTTCCCGCTGGCACAAATCCAGGATTGCCGATTTTCCCACCACAAAGGCCATCATGGCGGATTTGTACGAGACCCGATGGGTCCTTGGCTGGAGTTTTCGTTGCTGTTGTTCCTCTTGCTGCCTGAGAAAGGGGTTGTTTTCGAGCAGGGAGGCCACCTGGCCCTCCGTCATCGCCGCCAGCTGCGCCGTGTGCATGAGCTGTTCGTTTTCGTGCTGCTCGCAATCGTGTCCGGGAAAGCAGCCCCCGCTGCGGCGGCGGCGAAGGTTGTGCCGGTGCAGGACCTCGTCCTCGATCCTGCCGTGGATCCCCGTGAGCAGGACGCAGAGCGACCGGGTCCAGGACGACCGGATGCAGGGATTCTCCAGCGCGTTCTGGACGTCGTCGGCGAGGATGGAATAGATGGCCGCCTCCTCGATGCCAACGCTATGGTTGTTTTGTTGCTGTTCCTTCTGTGACGAGTGGTGCAGGAGGACCTTTCGGCCCGTCTTCCAGACCTGGCGTTTCCACAGAAACCGGTTTGGATTCCCCACCGGGACCCGCTCGACGGACTTGGTTTCGTCCCGGAGGACGGGCTCGTATCCGCAGGGCTCGCCCCCCGTCCAGGCAGCGGCCCGCCACGACTGTCCACGGGACCGAGCGACCTCCCGTGCCTCGGAGGTCCTTCCCTCCAGAACGAGAGCCAGACAGACCTGCATCATCGACTTGAGAACGCCGGCGTCCGTTTCGGAGACGAGGGAGGGGACCGCCGGATCGTCGGGGTGTCCGGGGCTCGGGGTCGTCCGGGTTCCCATCCCCTTCGACTTGGTGTCCTTGGATTCGAGCTCCAGGCAGGACTGGATCCACTTGAGGAGCTGGTGCTTCCGCTGCATCGCCAGCGGTGGTCGTGGTGAGTCGGCAGTAGAGGGCGACATGGCGTCGACCAGCTCCCTCGGTGTCATGCGGACGTTGCTCGCGAGCTGCTGCAAGAAAAAGGACTGCGTGGAGGAATTCTGCGTGTGGGAGGTGGAATCGTCGTTCCAGATGAGGGCCGACAGGCTGAGCCTGCGCAGCGTCGCGAGGAGCTGCCAAAAGTGGCCTTCTTCCGTCGGTCCCTCGGGGTGTTCGCCGCTGCTGCCCTCGATGGAGGACAGGCCGTACGCGATCTGGCAGAGGGTCTTGCAGTAGTCCACTTCCGCCCTGGACTCTTGCTGCGCCAGGCTCGGGGAGGGCGCCGTTGTTTCGGAGGTGTCCATCGGGACCACGGCGCCGCTGCTTGCTTCTTGGTCGAGCTCCCGTTCCCGTCGCTCGAGTTCCATCCGCGCGTGGAGGCTCCGCTTGGCCACCAGGTACTCCCGGAGCGCGTCGTGGTGCCTGCGAAAGGCGGACTGCTTGAGGGCGGCGGAGGTCGCCGCCGCCGAGGACCCTCCCCGGCCCGTGCGCTTGGTCCCCGCACCGGGACGGGAAGAGGAGGGCGTCGCCGAGGACGAGAGGCTCCGGAACTTGCGCTGCAGGGGGGTCTGCATCGGTGCGGGCTCGTTGATCGAGGCGCCGGTCTCGTTGTCGTTCTCGTTCTCGTTGTCCATGGCGTCCGTCAGCCCGTAGCTCCCGCTGCGCTTGCCGGCGCTGCGCCTGGGGCTCCTGGAGGAGGTGGAGTTGCTCATCACGGGGGTCCCGGCCCGTTCCATCAGGGGGGTCCGCCTGGGGGGGTTGGCCCGCAAGAGGGGCTCGGCCCCGCTGGCGTCTCCGAGTTCCTTCTGCATCCACTGGACGGCGTCCATCTTGTAGTACGACGGAGGGGCGACGCTGGTTCCGGAGGCACCCTCGGAGCCGCTGCTTCCGCTGGCTCCGAACCCCCGCGGGTCCCACCCGTTCCCGGAACCCCCGGTCGCTTCCAAAGGCTTGGAAAACCCCATCAGCTTCTCTTCGATTGCGGCAACGGCTTTCGCCGTGGCGTCGTCCTCGTCGTCTGCCCTGTTCATCGCGCGGTTTGTGCTGTGCTGTGCTGTGCTCTGCTGTGCTGTGCTCTGCTCTGGTCTTTGGAGGCCAACTGCTGTGCTGCGCCGGGGAACGAGCTTGTGGTCCGATAGGAACGTCGATCGGATGTTCAGTTCTGGGTGATCCCAACAGTCCAAAGAGCAAACCCGTGATCGGTTCTTCTCGGGACAACCAAATCTATCTCGTACGCTACGGTACGTACCACTACGTAGCACCAGCTTGTAATGTACCATACACTCTTTGGCTTCGGTACGGGAGACGATACGAGGTACCGCAGTTCTGTCCGCCGCTACCAGGTACTACTCGTACTACTACTACCCGATGGCATCGTGATTTGTTTCGTCCAGTTTTTGAAGGTACGACTCTTTCAATTCAAAAGCGGGTGAGAGTGAGTGAGTCGTTGTCGTCTGACCTTGGTGCTCGATGCCCGGGTGCCGATTTCGGACGAAGGATAGACGGAAAAGCGGGGCGGCAGCGGCCCGCGCGCCGGAAAGGACTACAGTACGGTATGGGTTTTGAATCAAACATCGAAATTCTGCGCCTCCCCTCCCTGTTTCTCTCGATCGAACCGAATCATGCGATGCCGCGTCAGCTCTTCCTTTCTCCCGGTTTCGGCAATTGTGTTCCCTTTTGGTTTTGGTTTCGGTTTTTGGTTCATCCCAATGCACTTCGGCACCGCCAGATGCTCGTAACGGCACTACGCAGTACAGTACCGGTAGAACAGAGCACATCGGTTAGTTAGTTAGCATCACATACCCACATTTCCGTTCCGACTCCTTCTCAACACTCCAGAAGAAGTTTGTTTGTCCAACAAACGCCGTCACATGCCGTGCCCAGAGCTGCTGTTGCGAGACGAAAAGACGACAACTAGTATGCCATTGAGGAGCAACAACGCGAGGAAGATCTAACAGCACAGCAACAACACAGCAGCAAGAGCGCAGTCCAACACCGCAATCCAACAGAACCGGGAACAACACAGGAGGTTTCAGAGGGCGGAACGAGGCACACCGATACAGTACGGCCCAGAAACACGCACCGTTCCTTGTCGATCGATTCGGTGAAACCAACAGCAACCGGCAACAACAACAACAACAAAAAGCAAGCAACAACCATGGACCGAAGAAGGCAGCAGAAAATCCAGAGCGTCCTGCTCGATTCCTGTGCGGCGGGCGCCGTCGCAATGCTCTACCACAAGCAGCCCGAATTCTTCAATCCGTGGAACCTGAGCCCGGCGCACTGGGTGCTGGGCGGCCTCGCCATACGGCTGGCCATCAACTTCTACGACCACCTGGTCGTCTACGCCGTGGACTCCCTCTTTGGACACAAGTACCTGCCGACCCGGACCACGGGAACCCCGGTCCGATACGTCGAGCTCGACGCCAAGTCCGTCGTCTTTCTCTCCATCAACGCGGTCCACGAGTGGATCTTCGTCCAGCGGCTGTGCCACTACCTCTGGCACTCCCAAGAGGTCTCCCTCGACCCGGCGGACCTCGGCCTCCTCAACACGGTCGGCGCCCTCTGGGTCATGTTCGTGGTCCTGGACCTCTGCTACGCGCCCTGCCACCACCTCCTCCACACGCCGGCGCTCTACCCCCTGGTCCACAAGCACCACCACCGGCAGCACTACCCGACCCGGGGATACCTCGACGCCGGCAACGAGCACCCCATCGAGCACGTCATCGGGGTCCTCTGCACCTGGACCGCAGTCCTGGCGGCCGTCCGCCTCTGCGGGGCCCACTCCCTCGTGGTCTTTTTGTTCTTCAACGTCCACGCGGCCCTGGCCATGCTGAACCACTCGCCCTACGACGTCGAGTTCGACATAATACCCTTTGGGATACTCACCTACTCGGTGGCAAACCACGAGATGCACCACCGCAAGTTCACCGTGAACTACGCCCAGTATTCCATGTGGTACGACCACCTGGTAAAGACCTTTGCGGGATACGAGGGGCCGGCGGTGGCCAAGGCCGTCACCAAGCAGCTCTAGCACCGCAGGGACCGAAGCGGGGCAGCGGGTGCGGGTGTGAGCAAGAGAGAGAGAAAAAAAAAAAGAAAAAAAAAACGGCCATCGAACCGCTCTGGAATCCACCGTGGCCGGTTGCAAAGACCGCTTGCTTGCCTCGCCTCTTGCCCCCCTCCGCGGGCGGTTCGGTTCGGTTGCGATTCGTTGGTCGCTGCGAACGCCTCGTTGCCGCCGGATCGGAAACCGAACCACAGTGTGCATTGTACAATAATAGTAGGAGAATGTGATAAAACGAAATGCGAGTTGTCGTAGCCGATTAAGCAAATAGCACCGTGTTCCGTCTTTTTCGTTGCAGCGTTGTGCTCGATACTACGTCTTGTTCGTGCCATTCCTCTCACGGCAACCAGCGATTCGAATTTATTGTTTTGATTGGCCTTGGAGCGACCGTCGACTTGAGATCGAATGAATCGTTCGATCAGAAAGTGACAAGGGGTGCTGAGTGATTGTCAATGGGCAGAAACAACCCGCATCTGTGGTGGCTGGCCATCAAAAGCTCGTTACATAACAAAAATCAGCTGCTGCTGCTGCTGCTGCTGCTGCTGCTGGAGAGCTGACCACCGGTGACGGTGTGATTAGACACATCTGGTAGGCAGGAAGATGCCAAAAAATGCATACCAAGCAAAGTCCCTCTGAGTAGCAATTGCCTAGTGGTAGTCGTCGTGGTATTGGATACTACTAGTATTATTTGTGAGACTGAATCACGACAAGAACTCTAGCTAGTGAATAACCTCACTCATCCTGTTGAAAACAAGTTAGCATTATGTTTGACCTTGTTGGAAACTAGAAGAGGCGCTAGGAATGCCAAAACCATTGCTATAGGAGCAGGAAAAATACTCCTAGTACTTGCCACAAGGGACAGCACTCACCACGACGGAGCCGATACCAGAAAATGACCAATCTCTTGTAAAACACGTAGTGTTATTGTACAGTAAGGAGCATATCAGCACAGCATTCCACTGATTATGAGCTACAAAGGATATACATTGCTGCCTCATTACCTCATCACTATCAAGAATAATGTTTCAAAATCAACTTGCAATTATATTATAATTATAACCTACAATATTATCTTGTATTGACCAGCGTTCGGCTCCTCACTATTCAATAATCGGAATCGGAGGACGAAGAGGAAGAGGACGAAGACGAAGAAGAGCTTCCCTTCTTTTTCTTTTTCTTTTTCTTCTTCTTCTTCTTTTTCTTCTTCTTCTTCTTCTTCCCACTATCGGAATCAGAATCGGAATCAGAATCGGAACCAGAATCGGAATCAGAATCACTGTCCTTCTTGTTCTTGTGAACCAGGTGGGTCGCAATGGCGCCAGTGGCAGCTCCAGCTACGAAACCGACTCCGGCACCGCCCAAGAATTTCTTATCCGTCACAGTATCCTTGAGGGAGGCCATGAAGCCCTTGGGCTCGTCCTCCGCAATCGCCACTGCGGCTACGGCATCCGTTGGGGGCGCAGATTTTCCGCCGGATTTTTGCCACTTGACCCAGTCGGGATTGCGGACCATGTTTCCTTCCTCATCTTTGATGTATGCTGGGGGTTCGGCCATCTTGTCAACTCAGATATTTTCGTTGGTGAGCCCTGTCTTGCAGTCTGTTTGTGACTTTCTGGGTACGAAGAGCAACTATGAGACGAAGCACGAAATCCAACTGAAGCTCAAAATGTCCACGAAAGGAAACGAAAAAACCGAAGAAGAAGGTTCTTTCGCTAGGTTGACGTACTGTCCTCGTACAATACGTACGGGTAAGGTATGAGCGCGAAGTTTGATTGATGAGACACGAAATATCTTTGAAGTATTGTATTGGGTGATTCCCGATAACATATTTTCCGATATGTTTTCGGGAATCACTTTCAGTGGTACAAAAGACACAGACTGCCAGCTCAACTTACATATTTTCCCCCCATTTTTGGAATTTGGAATCCTGTACGACGTACAGTACATATTTACTTACAGTATTTAGATAGTAGAAGTAAAGTAGACATGATTTTGGAAAAATCTTGGTCAGGAAAATGGGTCAAGTCAGGAGGTGGTACAGTACAACTTCATTTGTTTTTTGGGCATTTTCTCCCTCACAGACACAGAAAAATTTCACCGATTCTACCGGTACTTTGATGCTGGGATTAACCTTTACCTACCGGTACCGGTACGTACCTACACGCAGGGGTCGTCTAGAGCTACTAAGTACGGGCCCCATAACGGCAAGTTATTGGCAATTCCCCGGGTGTCAATTTTTTCTCATTTTCCCGTCTTTATTTCCCCTACCACCACCACCATAGCGGTAGTAGTACTAGTACTAGTAGTAGTACTAGTAGTAGTACTAGTAGTAGTACTAGTAGTAGTACTAGTAGTAGTACTAGTAGTACTAGTAGTAGTAGTAGTAGTAGTACTAGTAGTAGTACTAGTAGTAGTACTAGTAGTAGTAGTAGTAGTAGTCCTAGTACTAGTAGTACTAGTAGTAGTAGTAGTGGTGGTGGTGGTGGTGGTGGTAATAGAGTAGTACTACTACCAGCTACTACTACTACCAGCTACTAGTACTAGTACTACTAGTAGTACTGTGGAAAATTATGTTCATTTTTCAATAGTAAAATAGTACCACAAATATCAATTTGATATCCGRCAAAATGGTATATTMAGAATCAGCATWAAAAACTGGACTAGACTGGCTACTCAAAAATTAAAATAGTAGTATTTTTGATAAAGCTGTACTAGTAACTGCTTAAAGGTTGGATAGTTTTACTAGTAGTATTATGCAGTAAAAATGAGATTAAAAAAAATCCTTGTGTGACTTTTTGGAAATTTGGACCGAAGGTGGAATATGAGTTTCAATTCGATGCGCTCCCCTCTAAATTATGACCCCTGCCTACTTGTACCACCTGTTGCTTAATTTTATGTTGCCACCCACAAAATTAGAGAGGGGGGGAATTGTTTGCTACCGTGGGGGTATGAGGACAAAATGCAACTAATTTTGCAACAGTAGGAAAACCACGTACAATTCTACATATATACATTGTGATGATTCCTAGTGGCATCTACTATTCCGGTAGAGCAAAAAATCCAAAATCCGGGAAGTCGGTTGAGCAGAATTACTTGCAACATCAAGCATAAGGCAATTTCCATCATATACAGACATATGATGACTGGAGGTAATTCTTGAGAACAACAGTAACATATTAATATGACACTAAGATCTTAGAGGGGGACAATTAGTAGTTAGCAGCTACTACTACTAGTAGTAGTAGTAGTAGTAGTAGTAGTAGTACCACAGCAACTCGTAGTAGTAGTAGTAGTACTAGTACTACTAGTAGTGGTACTACTAGTAGTGAGTATCTGCAGACACCACCATGTCAGTGGGCCTCCTCCATATCAGTGAGCCTCTTCTGTATCAGCAGATCCCTGGTAGTATCAGCAGATCCTCCTCCATATCAGCATGTCCCCTCCGTATCAGCAACAAGCCTTCTCGTACTCTGTATCAGCATCCTCGTCAATAAAAGCAGCTTCTCCATATCTTCTGGGAATAGGTGGGTGTGGGATAGACAGGTCTGTAGTTTCAGTGCAAGCAAAGTGCGGACTTCCATTACTGCCTGCTGTTGATACTTTGCCTGCTTCTGAGAGAGGGTGTGGCCATGGAGATCTTTATTTTACTGTTCCCATAATGAGATGTAAGAGGTAGTAAGAAAGAACTCCACAAGATAGCCCCCCAGCATAAGTTGGGAGTGAGAGCTGGAATAAAGGTCAACATCAGTAAACCATTGGAGTGAAATATGACCAGCAAACATGTGATGCCATCCAATCTCACTCTGGAAATGAATAACTGGATGAAGGGATGCAGGATATTTCTCTGGAGAAACTGTGCCAGTGTCCAGCCATTTCCTAAGACAGCTAGCAAGAGTGTCAGTAGCAATTGGCTGGAAGCCAAGTGTAAACATCTGTTGTCACAGAGAGGCAATGGTCTGTTGCTGTCATCTGAGTTGTGATGGATGAGAACATCAAAAGAGATGCTCAGTATCTTCAGGCAATGGGCAAAGACAACAAGTATCATGTGCTTGGTAGTTCCACTTTTTGAGGACAGTGCCAGTGGGCAGAATGTGGTTGCAACATTTGGTGACCAAAACATTCCTGGAGGAAATGCAAATGATGGTAATACTCAGGGACTTCCAGGCAAATTCAGCAAGGACAAGTAATGGCCACTGGTTTCTGTCTGCTAAATAGGTAGTATGTATGATATCAGGGGATCAAATAAGAGTGCATGAGAGCTCACTTATATTGGCTGGTTACTGAGCAAGATTGAGGAGCAAGTGCTGATGGTTGGAGACAGGATGGTTTGAAAGATCTATTCAATCAGATCAAAGTCTGGTGCCATGGTGGCATTTGCATATACTTCTGTGTATTCACATCTGGATTGGATTCTAGTGATGAGGGCCATGCTGTTAGCTACTGATACAAGTAACCTGTGTTGGGCAAGGTGTTGTGGCGCTAGAAGATGAAGATGAACTGGATGTGCATGAATCAGATGTGTTCAAAGACGAAAGATGGTGACCATTGTGATGTAGGTACAAATCATTCAGTTCCTGATTAAATTTTGAAAATTTTCCTTTCCATTGCCAAAACTGGAATGAGTTAGAGTTTTTCTGCAAATCTGGCAGTGGGGATGTGAATGGAAGATTTTTCTCAAGTTGAGAAGTTGAATGTGTCACTGCATTAGGCATTACCAAGGTAGAAGATTCAGTAAAATAAGTTGTCTGTGTTGGACAAGTTATTTTCTGAGGCATTTGTGTGTGCACTGGTCTCAGTACTGGTCACTGTAGGAAAAGCAGTAGGAGAAGCTGCCGGAGCTGTAAATTTCTGATATGTTGTACGTGGTTCTTTGGTACCGGTCTTATGGTTTGGTTAAGGTGCAAAACAAGCAGAGTGACAACAAGGCTAGCTGATAACAAGCCAGTGACCTCAGCAAGAAGAGCTTTTGCGTGAGCAAGTCTACTATCCCCAATGTTGTGAACAAGTTATAGTATGAAGAGGACATGCATAGGGGGGTCAGCTGAAACCATTATCCAGACAAAGAAGAGGGTTAGTTCACCATGCACAGCAGAAGATTTCCCATTTCCAAAGCTATCTAATGATGGTGCAGTTGGAAAGGTACAACAAGGATGGATGCAGTATGCCATATAATTTACAACTGGACCAAGTAATTCTAGCTAAATATGTTGTACAGGCCACTATATGGAGGGACAAAAGGATGGTTAGGTGGTTACATACTGTGGATTTTACAGGTAAGCAAGTAGAGACAAATAGAAGAAGATCCAGAGGGCAAATGATAGCAAAGAAATTTGATGCTCCACGGGTACAGAAGACATATTCCACAAGGTTCAATGATGTTGACATCTCAGACAAGGATAGAACAAAGTATTCTACATCACCACTTCACACAAACAGATGGCACCTTTGTATTTTCTTCTGGTTGCTTGATAGAGTGGTACACCCCTATAATTGCCACTAGTACTAGCCTTGCATGCGATGAGTTTATGAAACAATGGAAGACATGCAAATCAAAACACAGCAGTAGTAAGAAACAGCTTCAATCTCATCTTGGCATTGCATTGATKAACAGAGGTATTGAAGTGGGCTGGAAAGTTCCGTATGATGAAGGTTACTAAGCCAGAGTGGTGGATGCCAAATACTTCAAAGAATGGAAAATATCAGCACCCTTGCGATTATAGGATTTATTTCTTCTGTGTCGACAAAATGACTAACACTCCATTGCTCATGGAAAGGTAACTTCAAAGCCACAGTAAGAAAGATTCAGTGAAGAGGAACTATGCTGTTATCTGTGTAGAAGAAGCAAAGCATAGGTAGTATCCTAACTCATCAGTGAGGAGATTGAGGAAGTTGTTACCAGGGATTAGTGTTAAATCTCAAGGAATGGTTGTAGAAGTTGCAATGCTGCTGTATGCAGAGAGCATTGGAGTAACTTCAACCATCAGGTGTAGTGATGTGTTTTAAAATTATGATCTTATAATATGTTATTTCAGTGACAAGAGGGACAATCTATTTAGTAGTACAGTAGTGTAGTAGTAACAAAGAAAGAATTAATTATTTTGTTAAACTTTACAGATGGCAACATTTGGGAACACAAGATGGGAAAAATACTAAGATTTTTTCAGTAGATTTATTAACATATAGGTCAAAATTAATAGCATGCAGCCTAGGACAAACACAATCCGTGGTCTTCTCCATCACAGCCCATTTTTTTTAGTTGGTTCATCAGTCTGACCAGCTTGACTCTTGTTGTCACCACCAAGATGTATGTATTGTCAAATAAAGACACATCTGTTATTGTTTGTTGTATTACTGACAAGAAAGGGGACATAGGTGTCACCACCAATATCAAGACCTACTCAAATAATTTGGGGTCATTTTTTCAAACCCAACAGCAAGCCTCCACCAAGAAATTACCTAGATGCATACCAATAAGCAGGCCAAGACATGATGACATACAATTGGTCTTGATTTGTTGACTCTGGAATATGCCTCATTTGGTTGAGACTTGTCAAGTCATGGAGCTTGGGGATTTTCCTCTTCTTTAGTACCTACCCACCAGTATCAGTAGTTTTGGCTTCTGTCATCTAATCATCAAAAGCATGCCAGTTGGTAGACTCATTTGCTATTAGGAGCTAAACAAGTTGTTGGTGTTCCTAATGTACATCATCACTGAACTTTGAAGCTGGATTACATGGTACCATCACTGATCTAGCTGCTGCTAAGCA